AGGGTAAAAGCGGCCCTGGTGGCGTAACGGATAGCGCACTCGTGAGGTGCGGGTTCGACTCCCGCCTGGGGCACGACTTTTGCCCACAATCTTTGTATTCTTGTGGTAACTTTCGGAACGCGAATTGCGGCTTAAAACAGTCATCATGTCAAAACAACTTCAAAGAATCTGTTTTCAGTAATTTCAGCGGCGAACCGTCATTCTTCCCCCCCCCCCCTTCTCAATAGATAGACAAACTCTCGGTCGCTGCCGATGCTGAGCCATGTCACGAGGTCGATGTCGGTGTGCCAGCCCGTTTTCCACTGCACCAGTACTTGCCAAAGTCAGAACTTAGAAATCCGAGTGCAGTACAACTGTACTTACATCACCGGCACCACCACGTAGATCCGACTCACACAGAGAACATCGTGTTTCGAGCAGTCAGGCCTGTGAACCAATGCAGCTATAAAAACACCTTTTCGAGTTCAATCAACCCTTGCAAGTCAGTTCTTAAGGACAAGCTACGAAGGCTGGAGGGGACCCATATAGGTACAATACTTGTTCATACTCTACCTACATATCCCTACATACAAAGGCAACCATCAGGTAACAAGTATAAGTGCCTGCTACTCCTTTGCATTGGTTCTTCGGCGACAGACAATATACATTTCAACGTACATATACGTACATTACAAGAATGTGGTGGTTTGGCGAAGGGAAGCGGAAGGTGGGGGGGGAGAGGCATTTTGCACTGTCAAAGCTTCACTATCTTCGGTCTACAAGTCTCACTCTGATGAGACCTGTAGACTCTTGTGAAGGTGGAGCAAGCTCGTCTAGCCACCGTGGTAGAACCTGTCAACTTTCTTGATAATTTCACGGAAATGTCTCTCTGCATGGTTCGCGACGTCGTATGGAACTACGCTAAATACCTCCCTGGCCGAGAATGCTCAACATACAAGTGCAACTACATACATGCGATACGAATTAGGTGATGTATTAGGCATGCATGGTGTACAGGTGGTGCCAGTTACCACATGGTGCTGGAACAGCTCCTACTGAGCCATTCAAGCTTTCCAGCGCTTCGGGGTAGACTACTTGGTTGCGGGTTTGCCTGGAAAATAGGACAGTGGGTTGTGAAGTGGATGGTCTACGCCGTCATGATCCTAAATGGTAATAGGAGCGCACACTGCGCTCTAAAAAGTCTCACCAAAAGCGGACTTTATCTTTTTGATCCTTCTTTATGCAGTGGAATTCGCATCGCCAGTCATCACAGCACTGCGATGTGCGTCGGCGAACATGGCAACATGGTCAGCAGTCATGAGTGAATCTCACTCGGTTTATCGAACGGGAAGGACGAGGTCTGATTAGGTGTTCTTTTGCTTTTCTTCCTAGTTTCTCCATGATACAGTTCTGTTCCTCCCAGAGCCATATGAACTTTGAAAGGGATTCAGTGTCAACGTGGTAGCGGGTGCCGTACCGTGATACTTTCCACTTCTCTGCACGATTCAGTCAAATGACTGTTTTCCTGAATAGCTTTTCCCACGCGTCCTTCCAAGTTTTCTTTTCCACTTGTACTATAGTTTCGTTTTGGGAATTGGATGTTAGGGAGTGTTGATGGTGCTGCTATGGGTGTTTTTTTTTTGGAAAATATTTGCGAAGGAAGGGGCATGTGTGGGTGATGCCCAGAAATGACAGCAGAGTGCTCACTGACAATTTGAAATGCACAATTTTTCTAAATTCGATGAATGACTTGACTCAAGCTTTACCAAGATTGATGAACTTATTTATATGGACGAAAATAAAACCGAATAGAAAGCGAAGGATCGAGAAGGCAATTAGTCATAGGATGTGAAGGAATGTTCTCATAGTGATGTCATAGTGATGTGAAAGAAATGAAAATAAAAAATCCTGCAGAACTGGAGAAGCTTCCATGACAAAATGGAGTGCGGGGGGAAAATGGGGAGTGTAGATTACCATTTTGATAGGTGTCAGCACGACTCCTACGAAAGTTCCTCCACTTCTAGGAAACACTTTCCATCCTGCCTACTGTCTTACCAAACTCCTTCACTTTACCAATTTCAAAACTTTTCTCATTTTGTATCGAAAGTCGTCGTCGAACGGATGGGGAGAGAGCAGGACACATTATCGCGTTGCGGAAAATTTCTGATGAGTACGACCCCTCCCCCCGAAATTTTCCACTCGCTACGATCACCTTTCGCAACCTAACCACAACTACCATATTGATGAAATTCGGGCTAAAATCCCATCACCAGATTTTCCCGATACTTCGAGAGGAGTACAATTACATAGCTCGCTTGAATAGTGAAAAATCAGCAATATAAATTTTAGTGAGGCTACATATGACCCCCTTCCTCCCAAGTACAAACCTATTTACGACGCCCTCCATTGTGGTTTCACCTAGGAGGTGCGCCTTTTGGAGTGTCCTCCCAATCAACTATCACAAATAACGCTTATGTGGTGGCTTCGCTTGATCGTCAACAAGGAGGAGGGAGTAGCTAACGCGCGCGTGAAAGAGGTAAAACCACTACCGGAAAAAGTCTCCTGGGCCTCCGATGAATCCAAAGCGTAATGCTCTTTTCTGGAACAAGACAACCTATCGTTAGACTGATGAGCCAGCCGCAAGGTAGCTTTTTTATTCAACACTGTTGAGTTCAGAGCACGCCATCGCCTTTTGTAAAAATCCTACCAAATATGACCCTACCTCCAGAATGACACGATATTAAACGATATGCTTGAATTTTTAACATTCACGCACATTCAAATGATGCGCGCGAACGTTCAGAGCGCTTTCAGCCGCTGCCCTGGAGCACGATAGTTCACGATGTTTCACTAGACACTCTAAAAGCACGTTTATTGAATATATGACATTCGTGAGAGAAGAACTTCTGAACAAAACTATGCTTGGGAAAATCCAAATAGCCTATCTGGAGTTAGGGGATCGTTAAGGATAAAATCGCTTACTTGCCACACGGTCAATTTGTCGTCTATTTTCTCAAATCACTACGACCACTTTTATCGATTTCCTTAAACTCAAGCAATAAACATATACACTCTGTTTCGCTGGACGGTTGGGCGTGTAAGGCTGCGTTTATACTTTGCGGCAGCGTAGCGTAGCGCTTCCAGCGTACGCCAGCGGCAGTGCCGGGGAGAGGATGCATATCGATCTAGCGTTCCCAGCGTCACGCCAGCGTTTCTCCAGCGTTTCACCAGCGTTTTGCTAGCGTTTGCAGCGGCAGGGGAGTAGAGACTATGGGAGAGCTGGAGGGTACAAAACACATCGATTGCGCGTCTCTCACGGCCCCATAGTCTCTACAATACACATCAATTGCGTGTCTCTTACGGCCACATAGTTTCTACTCCCCTGCCGCTGCAAACGCCAGCAAAACGCTGGCGTAACGCTAGCGTTACGCTGGTGACGCTGGGAACGCTAGATCGATATCCATCCTCTCCCCGGCACTGCCGCTGGCGTACGCTGGAAGCGCTACGCTACACTGCGCAAAGTATAAACGCAGTTGTCACCCGTCAAAGCCGTTCTCTGCCTTCTTGTTGAAGCGCGCATGCGACAAAAAGTGGTAGAAAACGAGTAATACGAACGATATGATACAGTCATATCATTTGCTCGCTTCAACAACTGGTAGGACGGGTTTGGCACCGCGCCAAACTCACCCCGTCTGACACGCCCAACAGTCCGCAGCGAACTACACTAGACAGCAATCGAAATTTTCTTAAATGAACCATCAGCACAGAGAGGCGCTCTCTGTCATCTCATGTCCACGCTTTCTGTTCCTTCACCTTTGGTACTTCATTAACGCGAGAACTCATTTATTCTTTGTCATCGGCGTTGTGCAGAGTGCCTCCTCCTTGCTACAAGTGCACCCGGAACACTGGCAGTCATCATGGGTCGAGCACGAATCTCCAACATCGTAAATCGGAGATCCAAGGATGTTTCCTCTGAAGTTCGGTTATAATTATGCCGAGCGGTATACTACAGTTCTATGAATATACGCCTACACAGGATCGTATTCGCATCCCACAAATGTCATTTCATCACACCATTCCATCCTCTCACTCGACTGCCAGACTAACTGAAATGACTTTTATTCCTCAGCATTTCCTAAAGGCAAACTATCCACACACTTCTGTGAATCATAGTCCTTGTCATGTGCGAGGTGAACATGTTCACAGCTGCAGCTCACTTCCTTCGCTCAAAGGTACAGGAGAGCCAGATGCAGGAGAAGGGGTGGGGGTGGCATCCGTAAGCTGTTTCTGGGCTTTGCCGCGGCCAGCCACACACCAGCTGGCCTTTTGGTGCAGACGCAAATGTTGTACATCGAAGATGGCGCGGGCGGCTTGGAGACTGTATCCAGGTAACACTTTCCTGCAGCCCGTCTCCGTGCACTTTGAGCGGGAAAGTGGCCTTATGCTGCATCAGCGGAACCATGCATCTTGAAGGCAGCGCCCGCGTTCATTTGTTGTTTCCACGCCCTCTTTGGATATCGTAGCTCACCCTATGAGGATGGTGGACGTACTAGTTTCGCAACTCAAAAATGCGAGAGAATAGCGGCGCCCGCTCGTGAAGAGTCGGCCACCCCGCCCACCTGGCGACCACTACGCCCAACTTCATTTCTAATGGTTGCCTGATGGTGCGGTTGTTCTGCTACTAACTCTCTCCACTTCGAATGGTGAGAGTGAGGTGATAAGGGAAAACAGCTGATACCAACAAGTGAGAACTCGTGCGGCCGCGCCTTCTCTTCGCCTTAAGCACGTACAACCTCAGCTCGGCGTGGGGTCCTATATAGGGCATATCCGATGATTTTTTTTTGCATTTTTCTTCACTAATGAACTACTTGCTACCTTGTTGTCATTGTCTGAGTCGTTTTCATTGTCTGAAGCTCCATAACTTAGCAAATTGAACGTTGGGGCACTGCCTTTAAACATAACAAGGACTGTCCTCGGAGGTGAGTGCACAATTTGTCTTCAAAGCTTCTTCTGTTTTGTCTTCAATAAATCCTCATCACCTGCGTGTAATGGAATAAGCCACTATCGGCAACGTCCATAGTGAACAAATTATCGTCGGGCGCACCAATATTTTCCAATTCCCTGAACCACGTATCAACACTCTGGAATAAATGGCCCTTCATTTTTGATAAAATGCAGCTATGATGCTTTTTTCTTTCTTACCCATGTCGCGGCAATGGTCTTGTTCATGTCAGGCATAGCTGACTTCCACATGTTCTGTCCCCGATTGTTCCGAGCCACATGCGAATTGTGCTTGTATTCACAATGTTTCAACCATTTCATCACGTTTTGTTCAATGACGCAATCGTAAGTCTGTAAAAGTTAGTATACCAAAATCAAAATTTCCTCGAAGGGAGTACACAACAAAGTGCATGTATCATCAATTCCATAAATTCATGACTTATGTATTGTCCATATAGGCAGGTTAAAAGGGGAGTTCCAGCTACAGAGGCTTATTTCCATGTCGACTGACCTGTATAAACGCACATCTCGGACTGTCTTCCCTGGAACCGTCGCCGCTCCCGCAGCCACACCCCTTGCTGACCTCAGATATGAACTGAATGTCGTCTCTTTCCGTATCTAGTGAATAAAACCGATTACTTTCATCAGATATTCAGCACCCGTGCCCTTACAGTATCGCACTTCGCTGAACCGAGGAATTTTGGCCGCAATTTTCGAGGCAACCGCCTTTTTGAAGGCAGTTGGCACGATAAATCCCACAAGACGACTAGTCAATACTCCTGGCAGGATAGAATTCCGCGACCCTGGGCAGGCGCTGCATAGCGGTTTCCCCGAGGAAGGTGCCCTTATAAGGGCCCTATCAAGCCACAACTTTACGTCCCAAACGCCCGCCACGCCCGCCCACAAATGGACGACCGTTCCTGACGCTCGTATTCATTCATTTGCTGAGCAAATTATGAAGCAAAGGGATTGGTATGAAGCGGCGGTGATGCTGCATGCATATATGGGTACACATATGCAGCCGTATCTTCGGTAGCGGTGATTGGCAAGATGCCTACGGGAAACTCGTCCGAAATCGATTTACAAGTCACTGAGAACGGAGGCTTTTTCTTCGCAGGATTTTGACCGTTTCACTCCGTTCTTTCGCCATTTCCCACTATACAGCGCCCTACTAGCATTTTAGGCTAAGCAGCAAAACATCGTGCCAACTGCCTTTAAAGGCCTGGAAGTGTTTGGGGTTCAAGAAAATGGCCACAGCCAAGACAAGCGCCCAGTCCACTCTCTTACGATGACGTGATCGGAACTCGGCATAGAGTCCTGTGCAATACGAAACATGCACCCAAAGGATCGGAACTGCCAGAGTGATCGGGTTTTACGCTAAGTAGTGCTCTTTCCTTGCGACGTTGTAGAGTTTTAGGCCTCTGAAGAAGACCATCTGCGTCAAAATCATCAAACCAAGAAATAGCTCCGCACAAAAGCAGAAAGATACCAATACTGGGCGTCTCACAAACACATTATGCTATGACTGAAATGAAGTAGGAAAAAAAAAATGAGTAGGAAAAACTGTAGCATCTTACACATACCATCTTTAGCATCCTAGCTGCCATCGGAGCATAACCAGAGGATTTATTCTTGGCTTTTCCTTGGGCAACGAGTGATCTAGATGAGTTCTAATATCGCGATCCTTTGTACACACTTCTAACTGCACATTCCGTGAGGAAAACGAACCTATACTCATTGTGATTTATCGAGAAAGCGCTTGCCTGACTTCATGGACATGCCATTTGGGCCCGAACACATGCGTAAATTTATTTCTAATTCATGTATAGGTTTTCAAAACGTGGAAAATTGTTTTGGTTACTTACAGTCTCGTTCACATGTTGACAGGAGCACCTGAAGAAAGTTGCCCGTAGATTATTTCATCCAACTTTTACCGTTTTCTCACTTATACCATTTTCATTTTGAATTTAGCGACTTTTCAACCAAATTCACAACTTTTCAGACAATTCAAGCATGAAACTCCACACCGGCTTAGGTAGCGCGAAAAAAGGGAGAGTTTCGGCCACAAAGCCTTATTTCCATGACTCGACTGTCCTGCTATGATCTTGACATCTCTGTGTTCCAGGGACTGTTTCCCTGGAACCCTCGCGCTCCCAGCGCCAACACGCCCCTTGCTGGACCTTCAGATATGAAATGAATGTCTCCCGATACCTGCCAACATCCGTTCAGACAAACCGTGACCCATTCAGCGCATTGCAGTACTTGAGTGAAAGATTATTTCATAACTTCTGATTCCGTGACTTTTTCGCATTTTTGTTATTTCGCACATAGACTAAACAGCACTACATCGACATGCGACTCCGACGGCTATTCCGCTCATTTTTGTAGGGAGTTATTGTTATTTTTATAAATTCTTTTACACGCCCTTGGTTTCACATCCACTCTTCACTCACGTATAACTTGTAGCACACGCATTTATATGGTTTTTTTGCACTGGCAGGTCCTCTCTTGGCGGCGACCCCGGCCCTTTTTTTTGTGTTCTGGTTCTTTTTCAGAGATTTTCTTCTTTGAATTTTTCATATTTTGAGGTTGTACAGCATCGCTATGAGCAGCTCCGCCCCTTTTCGCAGTAATTCCGCCCCTTTTGCTTGTCATACGGAACAAACTGCCTGGTTTTCTGTTCTGAGCGACCAGCGAGACCACCCACTTTAAGGTCTACCTCTACGTGCGCTTCTGAGATAATGGGACTGGTGCGATGTGAGCCGCAGCTTGTACATAGCTAGACAGAGTACCTTTTTACAGTCTAAAAAGGCCGAAAATTTTGCGAGAAAGCCGTTCAAAATTCTTTATAAAGCCCGCAGACGTGGGGCGCGGTAAGAGTCGCGCATGTGCCACTTATGAATGCCGCCTCTTTGAGTTTATATCGGTTCCTATAAGTGGCATGTGGAGACGACTTTAGAAAATGAATAAAAATTCAGCGATGGGAAAACTCTCCAATTAGTTGGATTATTAACTAACAAAAAGACAGAAGTCGAAGTTATAAAATAAAACCTGAGGATCATAAACGCGCTAGGAAATGGGCATGGCTGTTGGGGCAGGCTTGCAGCAGAGTCGCGTGCAGTGTGGTTGATTTAAACCTTGTAAATCATTTGCGGAAAGTAGGTGGGTTTTGGTTCTGAGAAACCGCTGAATTTGGTTTGAAGAGACGTAAGACCGAAGTGAAACTGGTAATATATACCATTTTCACTTTGAATTCACCCCTTTTCAAACCAAATTCACCCACCTTTCCGAATCGAATTCACCACACTTATTAGGCTGCGCAATTCATCAACCAAATCACGCCAGACACTACTGCGGGCCCCGCCCCTGCTTTTTGCGGAATTCTAAAAAATTTTTGCATTTTTGACTGCCAACGTGGAGCCACGCCCACCATGGGAGAGCCTCGCCACCTTTGCGAGATCCCGCCTTACTTTTGGAAAAAATGTGTAAAACGGAGTTTAGGGTCGTGGCTTTCATGCTGGTCATTCGGAACAAACTTTGCCTGATTTTCTTGTTCCGAGTGACGAACGAGAAAAAGCATGAAAGCCAAGACACTATACTGTCGATTTGCGCCATTTTTGAAAAGTGGGCGGGGCTTCTCCAAAGGCGGAGCCTTTCACAGACAGGGCCAGGGCTTCACGTTAGCAGTCCGAAAATGCAAAATTTTGGAAAAATATTCAAATTCAGGTAAAAAGCCAGTATGGCGTGGCCGAGAACGGGGCCCGCAGTAGTGTCCGGCCCGTATTTGGTTGATTAATTGCGCACCTTATAAGTGTGTCTGTGAATAAATTCGATCGGAGGTGGGTGAATTCGATTTGGAAGGTGGGTGAATTTGGTTTGAAAAGGGTGAATTTGGTTTGAAAACGGGTGAATTTGGTTTGAAAAGGGGTGAATTTAAAGTGAAAATGTTATATAAAGTCCTAAATCCCACTCACCAGGGAGAGAAGCGTCGCACCGACAAGCGTATTTCGTAGTGACAGTGCCTGTTGAGCCATGACAGTGCCTTTATATTTCGGATGGAAACAATTTGAAGATATACAAGCATACAATACAATGAATATTGTAAGTAGTTACTGCGAAATCAAGTTTTCTACGCAGCATTGAACTATTGAAACTTATTTCCACATCGAAAATAGCAGGCAAAACGATGGTGATGGAAATAAGAAGGACAATAAACTCATTCAGTTAGAAGTTTACAGGGAATTGTGCAAATAATTTAGCGGCCTAACAATACGACATTATCGTCTTCTTCAAGAGCTTAAACGTGGTCCAAGTTTGGAGGGAGTTCCCCTGATCAAGAATCACGAGTAGTTGGTGTTCAGTTATGCACCGGTCGCCAATAAGTGAGTGAACGGTAGGGAAAGCAAAAAACCCTTGGGGTCATAATATCCCTCCTTGGTACTTACATGGCCTCATTGTACGAGTTCTCAGCACTTGCTGACAACTAGACACATTCGGTAACATAAGAGTTAAATGCCACCCAATACTAGAAAAAAAAACAATGACTGAAAAAGACAGTAATTTTTGAAAACTGTGGAAAAGAAATTAGTACTACGGTGAACTACGCACGAAGAGCTTTTGCACCACAGTGCATTCGTTCCAGAATTCAAGCAGCGCCAAACCGCATGTTGCCGTACGAAATGGACAGCTTTTGCTTGCTTGTTTTCAAAGGACGTCTCCAGGGAGAACAGAACAACCCGTGAGCTCGCAAAAAAAAGTCAACAACCCAAGATTCTCTGCAACAAGCATATGAAATCCTATAGTGGTTGCCTTGCAGACTGAAGACATCAAAGCCCACGAAGGTCACGCGTCTGAGGCCAATTTATCTCGTCCGGGTGACGAAAGGGGTGCACTCTCTGATGGTG